CCAGGAATGGTAAGGCTGAGGCAATCCTATTTAAAATAGACTGCTTGTGATGTTTCAGGATAAAGACTGCCCGCTTGCCTGCTTCCATGCCTGGTCCTCTAGAGCTAGATCTGTCTCCAGCATTCTGAGCCTCTTCCATCTCAGCCTGGAATTGTAAGAGACGAAGGTGTAGATTTCCCAGCTCCTTCCCAGGCTACCAGCCACCTTCAGTTATAATGTGACGGTGGCAGTACGTTTGATCTGGCCTTTTTGTCCTTTTCACCATGGCCACCTTTCACTGTAACCCTGACCCTGACCAGTTGTATGTACCTGAAGGTGACCCAATTCATTGAAAAATGCCTTTTCGATATTTTTGCCTGGGCCTTGTTGTTTCCTGGAACTCCTGTTCCCACAGTAGCTGCCTTGGACATTCCAGCTCTGTGTCTGCACTCAGGAGGCTTTGCTCTTGAGTCTGAGGATTGGTTCTCTGGGCAGGGCTTAAGGCAAATCTCTTCCACTGAACTCCATCCTCAAAGAGGACACACACCCAAGGAGTTCTGTGGATACATGTTTCCCCTCTGCAAACTGCACAGGGCTCTAGGGAGATGCCTTAATGCAATGTTACTGGGTTCTCATAGGTCTCATGGGAATAGTAGGTGAGACCAGAAGGACTTGACCACTGAGGAGTGTGTGCACTGCTGTAAGGTGAGGGACAAGAGGCCGGCTCTGAAGTCCCCTGGACTGTGGAAAGGAGTTGAGGTATTAGATAAAGACCAGGTCCTCTTCTGAAGATCAGCAATATTGACGGAAACTTCCATGGCTGTGAGGTAGATCTCAAAGGGCAGTTAGGAAATTAGACAGGGGAATTGGAGCAGGAAGAGGTGCCGGTATTAACTGAGGAAAGGATGGGCCCAGCAGGAGCTCAGCTTTGCTGGGGAGCAGTCAGTAGGTTCCGGTACGGTCAGGATGCACACAGAATAGCATGGCCCAAAGGAGTCACTTAGGGATCTCTGGACATCCCAGGAACCAGCTCACAAATGCCCTTTGCTGGTTGATAAGGCAGAGGCTCAGGGCATCTGTAAGTAGCAGTGGATATGTCTGACCCAGTTCCTGAGAGCTACACAGCACATTTCCCATTCAGAACCCCGAGCCTTCCAAGGAGCCTCGGAGAGAAGCCAAGGCCCCCTCCCCTGAGGTGGGGTGGCGATGAGAGGCCTGTTAGAGATTGCTGCCTTCCCTCTTAATGCTGCGTCAGAGCAGAATTTATTTCAGTAGAGTCTGCAAGTAAGTGGACACCAGCTTAATTACAGTAGTTCTTTAAAACAATCCAAAAGTGGCAGAGTTGTTTACTTTCTGCAGCTTCAGGATTCTGGGGTTACATGGTGGCCCCCCTCTTTTTCCAACACAGAAATATATTTTTAAAAGAAAGGTGCTTAAAAAAAACACACAGTAGTCTGGGTTTTTTCCACGTGCATGCTAGACAGGCAGGAGGTGCGAGCGACTGTGGCCATGAGTCCTGATTCCCAAGCTTGCTTTTCTTTGTTGGGGGCAGGGGTGCTGGGTTCAAATCCAGCACCCTGCACACGGGAGGCAAGCACTGCACTGCTGAGCCGTGTTCCCAGCAATGAAAGGTGTTTTATTTTGTTTTTAATGGGTTTTTAGCTTAGTCATTTATGTGTTATTTATTCCCATTTCTCCCTGTGTCACTGAATCCCCTACTCTTGGACAGCTTGGGACCCATTTTAGTAACTTTATCAGGGACCAGGTTCAAACCTCACTGCAAGAGTACGTTAAGGGACTCTCCCTCCTTCCCACAGCTTTGTCACTTGAGTGGCAAGTAAGCCTCAGAAAGAGTGGACAGGCCTCTGCAGAGCACACAAGGCATGGCTTCTCAGATGGGACTTTCACTGGACATGGGAGGCCACAAGGGCTCCAGAGAAAGTCAGAAGTAAAGGGGAAACTTGAGGCTCTGCTCAGTGGGTCCTGGCCCAGTGGATGTGTTCTGGTTCGGTAATCAAGGAATACTTGGAAAATGCTACAACATCCCCCCACCCCCCACACACACACATATACACCAGGCCTTCTTCCTTGGGGTTCCCACCCCTCCCACCCAGAGACCCTGCTGAATGCTCATTTTCAAGGAAGGTCCTGGGAACAGGCACACATGGGGCTGAGGTGAAGCTGGGGTGCCCGGATGGCTGAGAGGCAAGATTGCAGACTCAGGGTGATTTATCAAGCAGTTAATTAAGGGACGGGCTTCCAGCTTCCTCTAAGTGGGAGGCGAAGAGTCTTCTGTTCCTTTGTTCTTCCTGCCAATGTTGGTGTTGTTTTCCTTCACGGAGACCTCGGGCTCTGCCCAGACGCTTGATAACTCTGTTTGCCACTGCTAGAGGTCAGCATTGTTCCTTTACCAAGGCGGCAGGGACATCACAGACAGCGGGAGTTTTCTTGTTGCCAAGGGCTAAGAATGTAGACTAAAAAGGTGGAGTCTGCCTGGCAGGCCTGCCACGCATCATGGGAGTTAGCCCCTGAGAACCCTTTTAAATAAGGTCTCGTGCAACCCGTGGAGGAGGAGATTGTTTGGGGTACAGCTTAGTCACTTTTCAAATGCTGTGATTAGAGACCATGACCAAAGTAAGTTACAAAAGAAATCATTTAAATGAAGGCATGCTTACAGTGTCAAGAGGGCGAGCCCGTGACCATTATGGCAGGAGCACGGCGGCAGGCGGCGGGCGGGCGGGCAGGCAGGTATGGCACTGAAGCAGTATCTAAGAGCTTACCTGTTGGGGCAACCATGAAGGTGAGGTTGGGGGGCATAAGCCAGTATGCTAACTAGGAATAGTTTTGAAATCTCAAAGTGACAGTAGTGAGTGAATGCTTAAAGAGATGCCACAGATAACAACTCTGCCAGAGACCTCCCAACTCAGAGATGCTGGACACAACATGGTTCTGAACAGCTCCTGCTGCTGACCGCCAGGCCCTCCGCAGTTTGAAAAGGACAGCTGGGGCCAGAGCTGTCACTTGTTGAAATCAGTGAGTGATATTTTGGAACTGAGAGGAGGAACTTGCTCGGAAACTGTCGAGTTTGGAAAGACACATCATGTTTCTTCTGTCTGTTTTGCAGTGTTGGCAGATAAAATTCTGCAGCTTCAGGATCACCAGTTAGATCCTTTGTAAGGAAACAAACAAGACAGTGACCCAGTTCAGCCCTTCTTCATTTATACTACTGTGGACGACCAAACAGTACCAGAGACGACTGGAAACTTCCCATGCCATAGCTTAGTTAAACATGCCTCTTAGCACACAGACAGCGGTCATTGACGTGAATCGTGCTCGCCCCTTTGCTTAGCATTTGCCGGGGTGTCTGTTTTCCTTAAAGAAGGAAAAAGTGTACATGTGTGTGTGTGTGGAGGTGCGATGTGCACGTGTGTGTGTGTGTGTGTGTGTGTGCAGGCGTGTGTGCACATGCGTGCGTGTGTGCACGTGTGCATGGATGGGATTCATCTGTATGTTTTGAAGACTACCTGCCCTACTTTGAGCCACTCCGTTTTTCTGGAGAGTCACACAGTCTGCCTGACATAGTAGGAAATCATTCACTGCTGAGCGGTGTGGTCCTGACTGAGTGCCCTCGAGATCAGAGAAAGGAGAGGTTTGTGTGGGCCGACACAGAATGAAAAGTACTTACGAACTTTGAAGAGAGACAGATGGAAACTTAAAAAAATAACTGTGATGCGTTTGGCAGGTTCTCTCAGAAGCTGTGTGGGTGGGGTGGGGAGAACACCAAGCATGGATGAAACAGCTGTGTGGCTTTACAACTTACTCCAGCCTCCGTCTCAGGTGCTGATGCAGGCAGCCTGACCAGAGCCCACCACAGGCTAAAGTACCTTATTATCTGACCCAGGCATTGGACATATGGCAGGTCTTTTCCAGAGGGGTGGAGGTGGTGGTCAGAGGAGATTTTTTAATAAGTGGGTCAGATAACGAATATATTCTGAGTGCCGACTGTATTAATGAGTGCCACCTTCATGGGGGCATTCTGCATACTCACCATGGGGCCAAGCCCGTGACTTCTTTTGCCTACAATATGTCAGTGAAGGACTAGGTTAACTGCTTCAGGGTTATCTCTCCTTTTTTGTTGTTGTTACTATAGAAATGTGTCCTGGTGATGTAGCTCAGTGGTCAGGCACTTACCCAGCATGCTTTAAGGCTCTAGATTTAATCCCCAGCATTAAAAAAGGAAGGAAGGAAGGAAGGAAGGAAGAAAATAAGATAAATAAATCAGATGAACAAATAAACAAAGGTCCTAGTCTGCATAACAGATAAAGAAAAATATTTCCATAGCTTTGAAGACTGGCAAGCCCGTGCTGGGTGACATCATGGATACCTGTCCGTGGCTGCCCCTTGCTTCTAAGATGGCACCTTGCTGCTGTCTCCCTGCTTGGTAGAAGATGGAGGTGAAGAACGCTCCTTTCCACCTGGAGCCCTTACTTTTTATCTTTTTCTTTTCATTAATTTATTTGCCTTTCATCTTAAGCACAGCTCCTTTCCCCACCTCCCAGAGCCCCTCCCCTTCCCCTTCTCCCCTTCTCCTCTGAGAAGGGGGCTGCCCTCTCCTGGGTGTCACCCCACCTGGCACCTCAAGTCACTGTAGGACTACATGAATCCTCTCCCACTGAGGCCAGACAAGGGAGCTCGATTAGGGGAATGGGAGGCACAGGCAGGCCACAGAGTCAGAGACAGCCCCCCCCCGCTCCAGTCACTGGGGGACCCTCATGGACACCAAGCTGCACATCTACATGTGCATGGAAGGCCTAGGTCTAGCCCATGCTTGCTCTTTGGTTGGTGGATCAGTCCCTGGGAGCCCCCAAGGGTCCAGGTTAGTTGAGTCTGTTGGTGATCCTGTGGTGTCCCTACCCCTCCAGGGTCTACCTGGAACCCTTTTACAAAAGGACTAATCCACGTCTGAAGGCAGAGCCCTGTGTGGTCACCCCCGGCCCCAACCCCCAGTTCCATTTTTTCCTCTATTTGTGGAACACTCCTCAGACCTGCCCGTCACCCCTCTGTAGGGACCATGCTAATTTTCTCTGTATTGTTACAACCTTAGTACATGTGCTACCGAGGCAAGCACCAGCCCTGCTTCTGGCTTCTGTTGTTGCTCTGGGGATTGTTGGACCATGAATTAGGAGGGGATGCCATCATTCAAACCATGGCAAGGGTCTACCCACCACACACTCACTGAGCGGCAGACCTGAAGCAGGTTGGGGGTGGGTGGCTCCTGCTCTGAAGGAGTATGCTTGCTGGGGTGTGCTTGGGAAGACCCTAAGTCTCAGGTTGGGGCTATATGGAGGATGGATGGCTTCTCCGCAGGCCATCCTCTTCCCAAATGTGTCCCCTCAAGCAGGGGTGACATCTACCAGGGCAGGTATGGCTGCTGAGAGAGGAAGTGAGGGCGGCGTGGACAGCAGGTGCTGGTGACTTGGTGAGCAGTTATAGTCTCCTGTGAGGCCACCATACATGGTTAGGCAAACCAAGGAGCAGGTCATATAAGGCAGACAAGACTGGTAGCAACTGGGATGAACTGGAGAGCCTGTGCCCTGTCCACAGTGGGTAACCACTGCTTAGCTCCCCAGTGTCATGTGCAAATGTGGGTTTGGTATTGTAAGTGGAAGGCTAGTTTTCAGTCTGAGATCTGAGTTTTTGTATTGCCTTCAGGTTTTGAATGTTTACTACTGATTTAAGCTGTTTTAGTGGGTCAGCAGTGTAGGAGCCTCTGACTTGGAACTTCTGGAGAAGCTGGAGTAGAAACTGATATGTAAAGGTTGGGTAGCTCCAGACAGTAGCCCAGGATAGTAGGCACAATATAAAGGTTGGATAGCTCCAAGCAGTAGCCCAGGATAGCAGGTACATGTTGCTTTGTGGAGCCACATCCTTGACAGCAGCCCACTTGTGTGTGTGTACGTGTGTGCATGTGTGCGTGTGTGTGTGTGTGTGTGTGTGTGTGTGTCTGTGTCTGTGTATACTGTGGACTTGCATTCGTATGCATACAGAGGGCAGAAGATAATAACCCTAGTTATTCATGCTTAGTCATTACCCACATTGAGTTTTTTGAAGTAGGTTCTCATTGGCTAGGTGTTCACAGGTTAGCCAGCAAGCCTCAGGGGTGTTCTAGGGATCAAGCCTGGTCCTCATGCTTACACAGTAAGTACTTTATAGACTTCTTATGTCTCTGGTCTATCAGCCCACATCTTGGCTTGCAAATGAATTGCTCAGGAGCTTGAAAATGTGGACTCTGAGTTGGAAGTTTGGGGTAGATTTGGTGTACTGCAGGATTCTTAGATCAGCTTAGAAGCGCAGCACAGAAAGTACCGTGATGGATTAGTGCCCTCTACGGTGAGGAAAGAAATGGCCTCTCGTGCCAATATCTCTGCTGGTAAGGTGAAATCCTCTTAACACGCAGAATTCAAGACTGCAAGGTGAGAACTCTTTAAACTTTACATCCACTGCGTTCACACCCCTTCCACATTAACAAACCACAGGCATAAAGTCTCTCTGTCGTCTGGGAAATTGGGTCTATACTGTTAAGCCTTCAACTTGGGTGGGATCAAGGGACGGTTAACAGATTGGCTGTCCCTTTTTCTGCTGTATTGTGGGGGTGAGAATGTGTGCTGCAAATGTTGGTGCTCTGTTACTTGCGCGGCCTTGGCGTCTCTTCAGCATGGGGTCTGTGGTGGAGGAAAGGGTGGGTGCTGAGGAAATGCTTTGAGCAGAAATCATCTTGTTTCCATTCCTTAAGAGCTGCTTTTGGAGCCTTGTTCCTGATCCCCTGCTTGCGTTCAAAAGCCCTTGGAGTTGTGTGCCAGGAAACAATATGATCTTTCTAATTGGGCAAGTAGGAGGAGAAGGACCCTGTGAGCCAGGATGGGCTGGCAATTGATGTCTAAAAATAGGTTGTTGTCCTTATGAATAAACATTTTGGGCGGAGCTTTAAAAAATACTTCCCCATTTTAAACCCTCCTGGACCAACATGGCCTTGAAAGTTAAGGAAGGAGGCCAAGTGGGCCAGGCAAAGCCAGGTGTGTGTAATGGCAGTCAGACTGAGAGTACCATGTGACCGGACTCTGTGGAGAAAGCTACATGACCTCCAAAGGAGGGTCGTGACCTCAAGTCTGACTAAGGTCTGTATGTAGGAGATGAACGGGACAAGGGTGGTGTGGCCCAGTGAATGTGAAGTGCAGATCCTGATTCAGTGGTTCTGGGCTAGGGTCTAGTCCAAGGTGATGACCATGGGAGCAAATCTGTGAGTTAGTGGGAGCACATCTGTGAGTTAGTGGGAGCACATCTGTGGGTTAGTGGGAGCACATCTGTGGGTTAGTGGGAGCACATCTGTGGGTTAGTGGGAGCACATCTTTGAGTTAGTGGGAGCACATCTGTGAGTTAGTGTTCTCTGTTTCTATGAAACATTCTGAGGATGTTTTTGCAGTGTGGCAGTAATGACACTTTCATAATGTCGAGTATTTTATATAGTTGGACAGAATCTGAACATTGTAAATACAATGACCAACAAAAGAAAACACAGCCCTGGGCTGACTGAAGTTCTTGTAACATTACGGAGTAGATGTTACCAAGATTATAAGGACAAAGGATTAGCCCAGACCAGACTTTGAAACAATAAGATTAAAATTTCCTTTGATCGTTTTTAAAGCTTTCTTGGGGACATAGATAGTTTGCTACTTGGGGGATTGAAAAAGCGTCCCCCTGGAGGCCAGAGTTCATGTTGGGCTCTAAGATCTCTTGGTTGACAGAGAAGCTGAGTTTTGTGCTGTTTAAGTGTTTACAAGTTATTCCAAGGCAAGAGTTAAAAGGATAAAGCATCTCTGAGAGATGCTTCTCTGGCAGTGGCGTTGGGGGTGGGGCGCAGGTATTTTTTATTCTTCCGGTGAAGGACTCAGTGTGAATGGTAATGGTAACAGCTGGTTACACTTTCCTGGCAAAGTACACACATCCCCACCCAGTGAATTCTCCCCAACCCCTGCCCTGCCCCACCCCACATGCAGTTTTTGATTCTTTCTGTCCTCCATGTGGTCAGCTCTGGTCTCCAGGCTGTTTACAAAGCCTGAAAGGGTTTCTGACAAACTTGAGTTTGGGTGGACACCCTGACTGGGTGATCTCATAGGGGAAGCCCAGCCAGTTACAGTTTCACAGATCTGTGACATCCTGGAAGGACTCTTGCACCTCTGGGAAGAAGCACTTAAGTCCCTCTGAGGGTATGAGTAGTCAGCCTGATTTTACAACTCTGACACCAGCAGGTTTGTAGGTTCCCGCCTGTGATTCTAATTATACCAGAGATATTTATCATGCTAGGTCAGAATGGATGCTAACGGTCATGTGCACATGTAGTATCAGGCATGTGGAGGAACTTGCAGACAACCTGCCCCTGAAGTGTGGGCTGCTGCAGTAATGTAGCATTGTGATCAGTACAATAACGATATGTCTAGTTGGTTCTCAAGAGATCCAGAGGCAACTAAAGCTCCTGGCTTGGCACCGGAACAAGGCTACAGCCTCCAGAACTTGAAAGGGAGGTGTCAGCAGAGTAGGGAGGCCATGGGTTGGAAGCCGGTGAGTGGCTCTGGGGAGATGCAAGCTGGAATTGCTGTGCCAGGCTTGCCATGCAGTCTGTGACCTCTCCTCAGCCTTGGCGGTGCTAGTCTTGTGTGGCTGCAGTTAAGAAAGGGCTTAGAGGATCATCCTCTTCCCTTTCCACTTCATTTTCACTGTCCCCACCAGGGACACTGCCCTGCTCCCTCTAGGAGGCACTATGAAGAAGAGACAAGATGGAAGGAGTGGGACAGGAAGAGAGGTTCAAATGGGGTTTCCCAGAGTCAACCATGTCTTTTTCTCTGACAGTTAGTGGGGTGGGGTGTGAGTAGGTGGAAGGGTGGGGCTCAAGTGCTCGTGCTGAGTGTGACCTCTCAGGGTAGGACTGTCTCCATCTGTGTCTCTCCTGTGTCTGAACCCTGTGGTGTGTCCTTGGAGTTCAGATGAAGCCTCCCTTCCTTTTGTGAGATCCAAACAATAGAAATAGAATGGTAACTGTTCTGGGACAAGACGGGGTGGGCTGTTCTTCCTCCCCCACCCCCCAGGGGGGGGTTCTGGTCATCTCACAGACTTGATCAGCTTGCAGTAAGATGCCACAGGAGAGTGTGACCTGTGTGGCCACTGTGATTTTGACCGTGTTTGTCCTTGGGCCTTACCCTACCCTTCTCCCTCTTGCCCTGGTGTGGCAGGAATAGAGAGAGTTCCCAGATCTGCCTTGTGGATAGTGGAGATACTTTATGACACTCATGAAGTCTGCCAGAGCCTGGGCAAAGGAGGCTCTAAGTCTCTGGTGGTCACCTGGAAGCTAACGCTTAGGCCATTGCTTGCCCTAAACATCTGAATCCATTTTAGTGACGTGAAATACAGGGAAGATGGGGCCCCGTCTGGAGATCCATTCCTAGTTTACCTTGAATGGAAAGGATGCTCAAGAAAAGAAACCACCAGCAGTCATTGAGAGGTGGGGCCAGTCAGTGCCATGGAGGAGTGAGGTTCCAGAGCACGGAATCATAGAGTCATGGCCGTTACCGCTATTAGGCCCTCAACAATGCCCTTTCTGATGGATGGCCTCATCGTCTGTGGAGGAACTCCCTGAGTAATGTGACTGGGGACCTCCAGCTGGTCTCTAGGTTTCTAGTCTGGCCCTCCCTCCTCCATATACAGCTGTTCTCAGGGATGCTTCTGGCTTCCATTTGTAGCCAGGGAGTTTCTGCTGAGTCCAGACCTGAGGAAACTAGTTCCTTCAACCTTTGACCCGACAGCTCCTGGTCACTGTGACGGATGCCAGAGTGCTTTGTTCAGGCATCTTCACTCATGCGTTTTAGGCCAGGGACCCATGTGCATGGGCTCCTTCTCCCACCGTTCTTTATCCCATGATTGGGTTGACCACAGTTCCCAGCCTGTCATTCTCAGAATGATCCTCACTCTCCTGATTTCCCAGAAGGCCATAGAGGCTCCCAGCTAGAGCATTTCTTGACCGGTCTCCAATGGCCAGGGTACAGATAGCTACATGGATTCAGTCTCTTTCATTTCTTC